CCCCAAAACCCCAAAACCCCAAAACCCCAAAACCCCTTTATGTTTTTAGAAATTATATTTAATTTAAAAGGTGGACTATTTTTGGTGCCCTATAGATTTGTAACCTTATCATTATTATAAGTTTTCATATATTAGTCGGGTATCTCAACTACCCTTTCTTCTTGAGGGTGAGATGAGGGTTGTGGCTGAGCTCCAGCTGCTCCACCTCCTGGAGCTCCTCCTGACGCTGCACTAGCTGCTCCACCTGGTGCATTTCCTGGTTGGTCTTCCTCATTTCTCCTCTGTTCCTCTCTATCAAAAGGTTAAATTCTGAAAAATTATAGCTTACATTTCTTTGAAATCTTCTCCAACATTTTCAATTGTTTGCCCAATAAACTGGAACATAGAGGAGATACTTTTGACGACTCTGAATAACTTTTGGTTACAGTGAGTGCAGATGTGGTAAGATTCCCTAGTTTGCTTTCATTGGCATGGAATACATAAGTAACAGAAAGGACAGAACAACACCATGTATATGCAAAGAGGAACTGCACTGCAGTTACATTCAGTCTCAACTCTAGTCATGTGTGTTTTTAATCAATGTCTACAATACGCACGAATAGGGGTTTCCTGAGTCACTATTTCTTTCCTTGTAGAATCTTCTTGCTATAAATAAGGTTAGAATGCTTCTGAAACTTTTATCCAAAAAAGTGTAGAGGGTGTTTTATCTTTAAAGATCCATGCCAAGTTTATACCAGGAGTAACCAAGAATTCTGGAAGCCTGAGGTTCTAACTTTCTCTGCGAATCTTAAGCATATTTTATTTTAACAAATTTGATCTAATTTTAAGTCAAAAATATCAAAACTGATCGTCTTTAAGTGTAATAATATATCCAAGCCAAGCTTCCTTAGTAAATTTATGACAGGCACTTTTTTTGTAAAAGTAGGGCATACCTCATATCTGCAAACCCTTTGTGAGTTTGATGCGCAGAAACTAATAGAGATATTTTTTTAAGTATTTTACTTTTAAGCATTAATGAAACTTATCAAAATTCTATCAGAATGATGGCTTATTTCATGCCGAAAATTAAGTCTAGTACTTAACCGAATAAGGCAATATCAGCCTTAAGTTAGCATCATGCAGCCCAGATTACTTCAGGTTAAAATCCTGCTTATAAATATAAAGACTGGGAAAGGAACCAATGAAAAGTTTTGGTGTAAAAGGTATGATTACTATTAAAAAATCTAGAAAGCATTTTATAATGTCTTTTTTTTTTTGCTAAATACTTAAAGAAGATCATAAAAATATACTTACAGCTAATTTCCTTTCCTCTGGGTCATCTTGGACTATCGCTCCGTATCCATTTCTTGCAGGATCCATTAAAAATATTTACAACTTTAATTCCCCACAAAGGGGTTTTGGGGTTTTGGGGTTTTGGGG